GTTTGTAGAAGATGATGGGGTCATGAAAAGAGAGGAGAGGAATGTATCCAACTGCCCCCGAAACTTCTGAGCTTCTAGATGTGTCTTGACCAACATGATACTGCCTCTTCCTGTGGTTTTGCTGAACCACATTCAAGCTTTCCTCTCAAACAGCTAGATCAAAATTTTCTTCTAAGAAACACTCTCAATAATATAATTGGAATTAACTGTACCATACAAATATTTGTTAATTTTTAATACCAAAAGAGTTGTTAGAGTTCTAATTGTGTCTTTCCCAAAAAGATATGTTGAAGTCCTAATCCCAGTATTTCAGAATGGAACGTTATTTGGAAATAGGGTTGTTGCTGATGTAGTTAGTTAAGAGAAGTAATGTCGCGTTCCAGCAGAATGGGCCCCTAATCCAGTAGGACTGGTGTTCTTATCAGAAGATGGCCATGTGGAGACAAGATTGGAGTGATGCGTCTACAGGCCAAGGAATGCCACAGATTGCTGACAAAACCAGCAGAAGCTAGGAAGAGACAAAGAAGGATTTCCCTACAGACTTAAGAGGGAGCCTGGCCCTGCCAACACCTTGATTTCAGATTTCTAGCTTTCAGAACTATGAGGCAATACATTTCTGTTGTTTTAAGCCACCCAGTTTGTAGTGCCTTGTTATGGCAGCCCTGGGAAACTAATACAATTGTCTATCTTCTGGAATCGGAATGTAATAGAATAGTTAGAGGCACTTTATATTCTTATTTTGTTTGTATTTGTATTTTTATTTCTTTTTCAAATATAGTGAGAAAACAAAAGGTGATCAGAATTTACTATTTGTTTTTAAGATTCAAGGCTGGCAAAACGAGTTACAGCAAGTAAAAGCCCAACAAAGATGAAGGTAAACATATTGTTTTATTTAATCTGAGAAGATAAAGGAAGCATTTGCTGCAGAGTGTGGCTTGTTGCCAGAGGAGTTGTTGGGAAAACCGTGACAAGTACATTAAAAATGACATTTACAGAATCAACTATCAAATTATTTGTGGAATACATTTAAAATTAAATTTTAATTCCCAGCCCCAGTATCAAAGAACGTTATTAATATTGCTTATATTATTAATTATGCGGAGTAGGTGGAGGATGGCAGACACAGATAAATCAACACTTTAGATAGAAACTGCTCACTCTGAATAGTCACTCTAAGAGATATCTTTGAAGTACTGCTTCCTAGAGAGGGAGAATATTGGAGATTCATAGAGATTTTGAAAGCCTTGCACTTTACTAAAATCATTTTCAAAATTAAAACATTTCTTTACATCCTGTCACACCATAAAACAAAACATAGTCTCTATTGACTCATATGGAGAACTCCAAACACACCGAAGTCAAGTTCCTTTGTGTATAAGTGACCTCTCTGTTTAACACTGAAAGCAGAAAGTCCTAGAAGAAGTGTTGTACAGGATAAGAAAGACCCAATGGAGGTACGACTTGCTAGTTAGCACTCATTTATCTAGGCATGAAAGCGAACATAGACCAGGCAGTAACATGTTTTGCTGCCTAAAAATACTCATTGATTAAAAGAATGCTGCAAAGATACGGTTAGGAGAATAAATGATACATTAATATAATACACTCTTCTTCACAAATTCTAAGGGAGTTATGATTTCCTCTTCCCACTAGACAATATTGATCTAGCACCTATGATGTGCTGGGGATGCAATATCGAAATACACAATCAGTGTCTCTACTGTGACGCAGCTTACATTATAGCAGAGGACACAAAAATAAGTATATATTGTTCTACGATGTGCTCTATCAAGTTGCTTGAATACTTAACCTTTACAATGGAAATGGTGAATTTTATCGTATGAAGAAGTAAATTTGGTCATTTCATTGAATTTGTAAATTTAGGGCCATATTTTCAAGTCTGTCTCTTCTGAGATCGTTATGGCAATTATGGGGTGGTATTGGCAATTATGGGGTGGTATAGAAGGGCTGTCCGGAAAGTAGTCAGCCATTGTTAATAGTGTTTTTCTTTTCTTTTTTTTTTTTTTTCTTTTTTTTGAGACAGAGTCTCACTCTGGTGCCCGGGCTAGAGTGCCGTGGCATCAGCCTAGCTCACAGCAACCTCAAACTGCTGGGCTCAAGCCATCCTCCTGCCTCAGCCTCCCAAGTATCTGGGACTACAGGCTCATGCCACCATGCCCAGCTAATTTTTTCTACATATTTTTAGTTGCCCAACTAATTTATTTGTATTTTTAGTAGAGACGGGGTCT